GGCACCAACGTTCGTCAAGAGTGATGTATTCATTTTAACTTCGTTGACACGCATGGAAAGATAGCTGGAGGCTGCCAGAACAGCCTCCAAAGTCTATACTTATTGTAAATAAACTACGCACACAGCCAGTTGTCTTGGCTATTGATGCATTCCTTGAGTGAGTGTAAACCAATCAATATGCATTGCTATATTTGACGCGCCCTCTAAGACATGTTCATACAACTTACCCTGGTGTGAGGGTGTTTCACGAAGATAGGTCTGATATACCTCACGGTGCAGAGGTTTGGCAACCGGGTGTGTCCTAATTGATCCAATTTCTAGTACATCCAGCTGAAATTAGCGCAGGTGTCAATGCCGAGAAAATCGATCTTGTGGTCACATTGGGTGGTGATGGCACAATTCTGCACGCCTCGTCGCTGTTCAGTGCAGGAGCTGTACCTCCAGTCCTCAGTTTCTCGATGGGAACATTAGGGTTTTTACTGCCATTCCGTGCGTCACGTCATTGGTGTAGCCGATCAACACCTAGACCAATGTTTCTTCATTAGATATTGATGATTTTGCCAAAGCCCTGGAAAGTGTCTTCCAAGGCAAAGCTACCATCCTCAATCGAATGCGCTTAGCCTGTACATTTTACAACCAAGACCTCGCCAAGAAAGGAAATGAAGGAGACGGTTCGCCAGTTCCCTTTCCATATATCCACATTTCATAAAAATTTCCCAGATTGGCAGGTCATGAATGAAATAGCCCTTCACCGAGGATCTAGCCCACATCTCAACACCATTGATATATTTGTTGATGGTCAACACCTCACGGAGGCTGTGGTACGAGTTTACAACCATTCTTCCTTAATCCATTGCCTGAAAATACAATGTCTAGTCCGACGGCTTGATTGTGTCAACACCTACCGGATCAACAGCATACTCTTTATCCGCGGGTGGACCTATTGTACATCCTTCGCTTAGCGCGCTTGTCTTGACACCAATTTGCCCACGAAGCTTATCATTCCGCCCCCTGGTCTTCCCATCCTCCTCTTTGATTACTTTGCGAGTAAGTGATAAATAAGGGTCCCCACCAAGTTGATTCATTTACATTGGACCCTTGTAGATAGGTGATCGTAGCCGAGCACCAGCAGGTGTATCTATGGATGGTCGGACTTCTCATGTCCTAAACCCGGGAGAGTCTGTCAATGTGCATGCCTCGCCATTTCCTGTTCCATGCATCAATCGATCATCCATTGCTGATGCCGAGTCGGAGGACACCCATCATGAGGGAGCTGGGCCAGGAAAAGAAGATGACTGGGTCCGCGATATCAACAACCTTTTGCAGTATAATGCCACCTTTAGGAGCAAAGCCTTGCTACGACATAGCCGAACCTAAAAACCAAACCATCCAATATCTCGCACCATTAACCCGCTCGCATTCACATAAGATCACGGAATGCCAGCTAAAATGATACATTGTTTGACCTATGGCTAGGTCTCGATTATTCCCGGAATACATTCTATACACAATAGGTGAAGTATATCTACATGTAGGGTTAATGATAAGAATCCAATGGCCTCCCCTTCTAAGTATGCTCTGCGTCTGCCTAAAATTTACCGAACCAGCTGCGCGGACTGGCCCGACCACTGGGCGACGGTGCGCGAGAACCCGCTTGTGATGATGGAGCGGAATGAGGAAATATTTTCTCCGATGAAAGTGGCAGTGATCCCTCTTTCGATTGAGGGACTTCAAGGTACTGAGGGGGCGCTTCCTTGACATTCGGTCGCACTAGGATGTCGATGATCTCTGTTCTTCTGAGTCCAGCAGACGCGGCTGGCCATGCACTCTCAGAAACCCGTATTGCCCGCTTCTGGCCCTCCATGGTGGCAAGAATGTAAAAAGAAATCCGATCGCGAGATATCTGTGATAGATCCTCAGGAAATTCTTTCTGCGCAATGTCTAATGCTGCCTGCAATAAAATGAGATGAGGCTAGGGATAATAATATAAGGCGTACTTCGTAGTCGTCTGCAGGTTTGACGAACACCAATTTATTCCCCAGGCGATAGGTTATCATGTCGGGGGGAACTGTAGGTGAGGTGCGGTAGGTAGCCATTGTGGTTGTTGGGTAGTTAGGGGAATGAGATATCATCCATAGAGCAGAATTTATACATGATGTGCACGTACAGCCGCCAGGCGGTGTCTACGACTGCGAGTCACGCACGGCTATGCCAATAAATCGAAACTTTCACAGCCACAAAGCGCTCTAATCGAATGCACAGCTATAGTCACAAGGGGAAAGCTTATATAGGAGTGTGCTATGGTATGCTATGCCTCGACACCTACATTGCCCAATAGTTGAAATACGCTTGCGCTTTTGGGGTTCCTCGAAGCTACACGTTGGGAATTTGATTTTGATTTCTTGGCCTTCTTCTTCCGTTCTTCAGCGTAAAAATCACCCAAACCGGACTCTATTGCAATACGCAGTGTATCCGGGATATCTACATCCACAGTCGGGGATGATTCAGTCAAGAAGGAGTGAAATCTTCTGCCTGATGTGATATGAGCCACGGGTGCCACAAGGTCAGTTATCATCAATACTTGTGACAAGAATTCGATGCTCTGTATCGCTGATGCAACCTGTGCCATCAATTGTGCGTGTCGATCAAGAACCTGGGGAAAGTTTGAGGCAGGGGTGGTTGGAGGTAACGGTGATAGTGAAGCTAAGAAACAATGCGCCTCGCGCATTGACCATCGTTCTAGGTCGCGTTCCCGACTACCTGTCTCTTCTGCGCGTAAATGGAGGGTACGAACTACCCAGCGTAAAGCAAGTACAGCCGTCAAATGAGGCGGAGAGAGCGCCCTGATTGACGGGTAATCAGAATGAAGCACTGCCAAAAGAATGGTGAATTTGTTGGCTGGTGAATTTGACGCCAAAGGCTTGGATTCCATGACAATGGCAGGGTGGGACAGAGTGTGAAGAAGCTCTGAAAGCGGATTAACGGTAACAGCTTCGGAAGCGACTCGCGTCCCACGACGTATATATTCCACGATTTTTTTGGGTTTATTAATTAACGCGGATACCAATGGCGTAGACGTTTCTGCCCCTGGATGTAGACGCTCAAGGGCGCCTTTTAACGGTGCTAAAAGGTCCTGGGCGTTTTCCTCATCGTCAGACTCTACAACATCAATGAGTTCATCCTCGTCCTCAATGGAGCTAGCATCAGCCGTTGAGTTTGCCACATCGATGTCACCTTCAAACTCTGGGAGGCCAATTCCATCATCTAGGATGGAATAAATCCACAAGCGTATCGGCCTGCCTATACTTCTGTTGACAGTTTCCAAGTCGGGATTTTCAAGGAAAGTACGGGGCCAAAACGTTGCTGTGCTCAAGATATCCAGGATATGTGGATCCAAATTTCCGGTGCGGTAGGCATTCAAGTAATGGCTTCGTAATGTAATTTTATCATCCGCAGCTTGATCCTCGGCCATAACAAACCGGGAAACCATGGACAGTATCGGACAAGCATCGGGCTGGTGTAGAGCGCAAACGTCTGTGGGCCACAAACTATCCAAACCCACAATTTCTCCGTCGTATTTCGGGATAGCGTACTGCAACGTGGCTTCCACGATCTGGTCAATGATTTTATCCACTTCACCAGTTCCCAGAGTTGTGCCAAATCGGATTAGGAGGGCGTTAACTGTTCTATCGATAAGATCCATCACACTGCCTAATTGATGTTTTTGCCTGCGCTTTTGGTACGAAGGAGATATAACAGCTTGGATCGTCGATGCAACACGGCTGATGCGTTGTGTCAACGTGAGCTGCCTCTCGAAAAACATAGATTGGACGCTCCGATTATTCAGTTCCTGCGATGTGGTGAAATCATTGCCAACAAGCGCACCCAGTAGAGGGAGAAGCGTGACGGGCACCTTCAAATGCGATGCCAGAGTCGTAGGGCTGTATGCTGTAAATGAAAGAGATAGGTCTGTATCGGTATCGGGTGGAATGATTCCACGTCCAAGCCTCGGATCCCGAATCACTTTCGGCTTTCCCTTGCGGACAGGTTGGAAATCATCATCCTTATCTTCATCGGTTATGGGGATATCAGGAATCGCTGCCGTCCATGACATCTCGTCCAAGGGGATATATCCAAGATACCCATCGGTATTCAATACAACGAAGTCAGAATCGTTGCCAACGACATATCCGCCAATGCGGCCAGCGAGCTCCACAGCGTAGGGGTCCCCCTCTTCGTCTGCAAAATGGATTTGGAGCGAGTCTGTACTCTCGAGGAGTGATTGCAATGCATGAATGCAAACTGAGTATGAAAATGGGGGAATGATACGGGTTTCGTGTAGGAAACGTGCGCTGTTGCGAGATATCGGCGAGGTGCGGAAAAACAGCAGCGAAGGTTGGATGACTGATTGCCCCAAGCGGGACACAAGCGTTGGAAACTTGAGTTCCGGGTATGCGCCTTGTCAACGATTAGATAACATCGTCGGGGAATGCGACCTCGACAGATACCAACCATCAAACACAAAATGAACACTGAACCCAATTCTGATCCAGTTCTGGACAATTAGGAAAACAAGCCGAGTGAAATCCTCATATTCTCCACCGTACACCCAGGGGTGGTTGGAATTGTGGTGCACTGCATATATGAACCTGTGCTTCTCCAAAGTGAGATTTACCAGGATAAAATGACGCTGGCGCCCGAGACTCACGACCAGCCGTCCACGACGATTGAAATGGGTCCCGGTGGGGGACTCTGATGGGATAAAACATAGGATTTTGAAAGTAGGCGTCGGTTCTCGCGAAGATATGTTGTAAGACCATGGACACCCATTTTGTCGGGGGTGAAAAAATAAAATTCCCGATGACAATGAGAGTGAACGGGATAGTTTCAGCAAAACGAAACAAGCTGTGTGCTATCGCGGGTGCAATCATGATCATGATGGATGGTTAGTAATAATGGAGTTTGATTGGGAACACAACCAAAAAATGTTGCCCTCTCATGGCAACATGGCCGAGTGGTCTAAGGCGCTGGAATTAGGATAGATATCCATCCAGTCCGAAAGGGCGTGGGTTCGAACCCCACTGTTGTCAGATCCTTTTTGCCTACATCTCACTGGGCCGTGTAGACCGTAGTCGTAGGAGCATCCATCCAAGCGAATTTTATCGGATCAACAATTACATCTTGCCTATTTATGCATTAGTTATATTCTACCCTGTCTAAGATAAGTGTCCCCATAGTGGTTATGTCGATCCTCTTTTCCCATCCTCTTCGTCGGGTGGTCCATCTTTGTCTTTCCAACGTTCATAGGCGCGGCTGAACGTCCGACTTGCAAGAAGAAAGGGCTCGTTAGACCAGGCCTTCTCCCAAACTCGTTGGGCGAATTTCTGTTGTTCGCCAGACCTAACACTTTCTTGAAGAATACCAAGGACTTGTCGTGATGGAGATAGAAGTTTGTTTATCCGATCCCAAAAGGGAGGAAACTCAGGCGGGAGGGGTACGAGCAACGACTGTGAGCTATAGTTCCTTCCTCATTCAACCAACCCGTGTATTAAAATAGTGATAAATCCACTCACCTAACATCAGGTGGTGGTCTAAGCGGCACAATTGGTCCCCACCATTTACTTGACCCAGCCTCAGATTCTGCCTGGTTTCCTGTGGCATTCGTGCCCGCAGTCTGCTGCAAGTGGTCTTGGTAATCCTGCCAAACCTCTCTGCGCTGCTCTTGATATGTGGCGAATTGTTGTTGTTGCTCCAAGTCCATGATCATTGTGTCGGTTTTGTCATGAACGGCCCATCGACTATTACTCGTCCAGAAATACCACCCCTCCTGCCAATATTTCCGAGCCTCGTTCGAAGGTTTGGGCTGTTCATCAGAATCTTCGAGGGGTTTTCCACCAAGATATCGAGGGAGGTTCAAGGGCTGTCCTTCCGCAGGTAAAGGGTATTTAGCTTTGCCGTCAGGCCCTACATCCCGATGACTTTTGAAAGCCACCACATTCCTAACTTCATGTGGAAAGACCTTTCGAATGCATATCGATCGGCAGGAGGGCTCTTTTCCGTAGATACGGCCGTTGACGTTTTGCGAGCAGTAAGTGAAACACCATTCGTCTGTCTTCTTGGAGAATCTGCCTGGAGTGGTGCCACTGATTTAGGATTTTGTAATGTGGTCCGCTACCAAACAAGAACGAACCTTGGGGGGGCATAAGAATCTTTATTGTTGGCCAATTAGCAAATGGCGGTTTCCTGACTTGCTGCTGCTGTTGTTGTTGGGCTGGCTGGGCTTGTCCCGTCGACATTGTGCGGTTGAATTTCCTAGAGTCAGATGCGTACTGGGTGGGTCTCTCCGGAGTATTGCGTAGCGGAGTCCTAACCTTGTGTATTTAAAATATAATCCTCGCTACTTTAAAATTTCTTCCACGCCGATTGAAGAATCGTTGTCGCAGCTCACGCACAGGGAGCTTTCGCTTCCTTCTATGCTGTGGGGAAAGTCCCCGGAGATGCAGAGCATATCCCTACCCAATTCACGGAAAGCGACCGGCTTTAAGCACGACGGTACCGGGTGGGGATGGGGAGGATGATTTGCCTTTGATTTGAGTAATCTTTTTACGGGATCTATGGCTCCACCTCATCCACTCTGCTGTTCATTCCGACGGGTGGTCGCTCGGCGAAGGCGCGGGCACGCGAAGATATGAGCTTGCCTGCTGCTCGGGTGATTCCTCGACGAGTGAGCATATTGTTACTCATAGACACAGTTATACGATTGTTGGCTCACCTCGATGGGCCTTCAACTCAATGGGGCTCACTCTCATTCGGCGCGATATTTTTTCCACCTGTGAGCCTTTGGCTCATTTTCCCTTTGGCACCATTGCTTCCATGTACCGGGTGAGCATTATTATTGGTTCATTCTGTTTCTATGATGCGTTGGATCTTTTTGAATTTCTTCATGGTGTATACCTTCTCCTGCGGGAACCAAGGGCGGGCTCCAGAATTTTGACACCTCTGATGATGATACCTCTTCGTTGAACATTGTACTGACGAGCCTGAACAGGTTATGAACCCAGATAGGTGTGGTGGTGGCTTCAGTTACATAACAATAGGCTGTCTACATCTATTGGGATATATACGTAGATGTGATGTTTAATATTCAGAGCTTGGCCTTGAATTCTTCACTTGCGGGATCTCTTCCATTCAGCTCCTTCCTGGCAAGGTCGCGCAATTCTCGTCGCAAAATTTTTCCAGCGGCGCTGATTCGAGTCAGATGCGTCTCCTTGAACAACACAATGCCCACCTTTTTGGTACAATATCGATAACCATAACGCCTGAAAACGAAAACATTAACACAGGATCAGGAAATTGTCTGAGAGCTTACCCCCTCTGAGATATTTATGACGAGCAACTTTGGTCTCAGTCCACCTACGGATGCTCTCCTGAAATGCGATCTTATCAGCGGCAGTTTCCAGGGCACCAGGTTGAGCATGAACAACGTATGCCCTGCAAGCGTGAAATCAATAAGTGAGGACACCTATAAGGTGAGAGTTACCTGGGGAGTTCTGTAGCTTCTCTCGCACTTTCGACGCCAATCACAGCGACGTCCGCAACGTCAGGATGGGTCAATAAAACACTTTCAAGCTCCGCGGGGGGTACTAGTAGAAACAGATTGGTTTTCTGCCCATCAATAAGTCCTTGTATTACCTTGAAAGCCCTTGAGTGGTGTTTGGCGTTGAGTCACCAACGTGGTAATAGCAGGATGTGTTTACCTTATATTTAATAAGTTCCTTTCGGCGGTCAACTATCCAGTAATAGCCCTCTTCGTCTCGCTTTGCAATATCACCAGTTTTAAACCATCCATCGTTAGTAATGGCGTCCTCGGTGGCGGTCGGGTTATTCAAATAGCCCTGAGCACCCATCCAAAACTCTGCCAATTCTCAACAGTTATGAAAGCCTCACTTTCATAATGGTCGGTCCCCGTATCCACAATTCTCCCGGTTCTCCTTCAGCCGCGTCAATATCACCATTCCCTTCACCATCAACGAGGAGTCGAGCCTCCAGATTGGGTAGCAATATGCCAATACTACCGACCTTGCGTCGGCGTCCTCTTCTGGCAATAGGTGGGTGGTCGGAGAAGTTTCGGTCAGCCATAACCTTAAGAGAGTATCAATAAATTACGCAAAATGAAGCTCAACAGTGTCGAGAAACCTAGGCTTTATGTACCTTGCAAAATGCGTAGAGGGTTGTTGTTTTTCCGCTTTGACAACAGCCGACTTGTGACCTATTGCACCAAGGTCACTCGGAGTAGATGAGAAATGGCGCACGGAAACCTACCTGCCTAACTAAGGCAGCACCTAATGGGGCGGCACCGGAAAAGAGCGTGGTCAAGGTTGACATATCGTACTTTTCAACCGCTGGAGCTCACGAGTATGAATCCGATCCAGAACCAAAGCACAGGGTAAGGAAACATACCTTCGTGTCGGGCTAGCACAACTAGTACAGGAGGTACAATAAGAGCCACGGCAATCCTATACGCCTCAACGTTTGCACAAAATTGTACAGGGTCAAATCGTGGCTGGATGATGACCGGCGACCCACAGAAGAATGGGAAATGTAGGAGCTTGACCGCACCTGCCATAAATAATATTAATGGACTACTCATACGAATCAAACCACATACCATATATATGGTAGAAAGGCAGAATGCCCAACATGTTGTTGGCCCCAATTTTGAATGAAGGGAATTTACTCCGGACCATAGGGAGAACAGAAGTCAGGTTATGATGAGTCGTCTAAAGCCCACTTTAACATCCGATATCATATATAACCATGCACCTCCATGCACGCACCTCAACGCCTTTAGGCTTTCCCGTTGTGCCTAACGAAGCCTATCTAACGAGATGATGAGGCATTGTCGAAGGGGAACTCACCTGAACTATAGCACAGATATACGGTTTCGTGGGCCCTATCTCCATCAAATTTCTCCTCTTCATTCAAAGTACCGATATTTAACAGATCCTCCACCCTTAATAACCCATGGCAGTCCTGTTTCTTTGGTGCCGCTGGACCCCCAGCCCACTCCAACCCATTTCCGAGAACAACAATTCTTCGATCCGCCTCTTCGTTGTTGACACCAAGCCCCGAAAACATCTCTCTCACTGCGTTCACACCATCTTCGCTGGTAAACACCAATCGGGAACCGCTATCGATATATTGGAACGCAAGTTCTCTTGCATTATACGCGCTGTTTGCAAGTGTGCATCGCAGCCCTGCGGCCACTGTGATGCAATAGGACTAAGAGATGACGAGCTCATTTGAGTGATGCAGCATACCTGACCCGAACAAGACCACCGGCCAATGTAGCGAATTCTGCGAGTAAATTAGCAAGGTATCACCCCTTTTCACAGATGTGTTAGGGTGATTGCGCAGGCCCCAAGCTAACGCAAGTGCAGAGGCCTTCAGCTGCGCACGGGTGAGGGTCGTTGAAGAAGCTGCGTCAACAAAAGCGGGGGTTGTCCCCGGTACCCCACCGATGTTATTCGGACCATCAGGGGAAGAGAAGAGATAAGTGAAGATTGATTGATTGATAATCGGGACAGGTGGAATGGGAGATGTGTAGATTCGGGGAGCCATATGTAGTGGATTTTCTGCGGGGGACCGGGAAGTGGGGCAGGGGAATAAAAGAGAGGGTCATAAAATAGGTTGGCGGCGGGCGGGCCGATTTGTTACCGGATGTCAAGACTTCATGCCCTGGTCCAGGGCAGAGGCTGTAAACTTTTCCTAAATGTTATTGAAGTATTTACAGCTTGGATTTCCTGGCGGCCTAACATTCCCTCTTAGGCTTCCACCAGCTTCCACCCACCCAACTTCAAAGGCCAAGTCAGTTTGTGTGTACTAACGCCCATGAGCGCGAAACGCTCGAAGCCGAACAGGAGTAACACATGATTCGGAAACATACCTTTTTGGATTATTCTTCCTGGTTCCACCACGTAGTGAAACCCCCTTTGGGTAGTGTTGGTTTAAAAACGAGTCGGTGGTTATACACATGGCTGACCAGTTACGGCTCCGCCCGCTTTCCGGCATTGGCTGATAATAGCTGTTG